CATTTACGCTTGCACCATACATAGGAGCCCTAAACCCTGAACCCCAAACCTCTACTAAACCCCAAACCCCTAAACCCTGAACAAGCCCTAAACCTCCGACCCCCAGGCAAAGCCACGCCTTGCCAGACTTGGCCCAAGCCTCCAAGGCCTTCCACTCCGTCTGCCTCTCCTCCACATGATACTTTACAAAATATCATGACAATATTCTAATACTTGTAGAAATATACTACTGATAATATACGATACTACTATATAAGGGAAAGGTTTCCGAAGTTGCGAGGTCGGGAGTTTCTGGATGTCACATGCATTGCGGGATTACACAGTGTTGACGGTCGAACGCTTTTGGGCTACTCAAGTTGGCGGGCTCCTCTGTGGGAAGTCACCATTGGGGATACATGAGGCCCCTCATTGAATCGTCAGATCTGAAGCAGAACACCACCAAAAGACCCCCCGCCCCAAATCCTCCACGGTGATGATTAATACGAATCTTTGACCCTCTCGCAGTGATCAGGTGGCCAACCGCAAACCCTCTGTGGTATGCACTGACTCCTAAAAAGAAATCATCAGATCCCGCTCGAAAAGCTTTAGGCCAAGTACCTGCAGCCCGAAGAGAAACAGCAATCATTGGTGCAGGCCGCCGGCCTTTGCCGACCCATTCTTGCCGAAGTCCGCCGGGAAGTGAATCAGCATCAGATCTACGAACTTCCTTCCATCAAGCTGGCATCGTGGATCTTCCATAACCAACACAACAAGAACTAACGAGAAACCACACTAGGCAGTGAGGATCTTTCGCGCAGGTGTCACTATCCAGTCCGCGTTGCTCATAACGGAAACTCCGAACCAAACCTACGCACTACTACAGCATCGCCCCAGCTTGAATCACTCTTCAACATGGAGGCCCCAAGTAGAGCAATGGACAGTATCTAGCCCGATGACGTGTACTGCTGAACAGCACATCGAGCGCGAGAGCCCTGCCATCTAGGTGAGAAGCTGCTGGAAGCTACTCGAATCAAGGGGTCATATGTTGCGTTTGACAGCCCTCCAAAATGTTGCATCACATTGTCAAGAAACTTCGCACGCAAAGACCACCTACCCAATCTTGAGAAAGTGTGTACATGTCCGCCGAAACAAAAACCTTCAACTCACGCAACCATGCAGTTGCTGCACCAACCACCTTTCCGTGATCGCAATCCCCAAGTAACCTTTTGTACTCATCCTTCTTGCTAGTTTCTCGCGGAATTGCTTGTTCTCCATAATCTCACCTTCCCCAGAGCTGATTCTTGCAGAAAGTCCCCAATTATGTCTAAGCCCCCTAGTCTAGCATGGTCATATATAGCCATCCAGTGAGCCCAGAATGCGAAACTCGAAGCTGTACTAAAGGGCCGCACTGCCGACCCCAAAATACCATAATCCTTATAGGGACCCCCACCGAAGAGACCTAATTTCGGGAACCTTATAAGGTTCAAGTTTTATGCATCGATCAACAGCTCTGCTTGAAACCCTGAGCCCGCCCTGAGCCTTCAACGTTTCCCTTCACTCCCTACACAATACATGGTTAAGGTTTAGGGTTTAGGGACATACTCACCTATAGGCAAATGCATTTCATTTATTCGGAGGCCTCCAAAATAGACCCGAAATACTATACACCTTGCTCGAGCGACCCCTTACTTCTTTCGACGTCTACAAACCCTATGAAGCAAATACACCTATACACCCTGTATGTACGCCCAGTTTCCATTCCGTTTTGTGTTCTGTCTTCCATTTGGTTCCCCATTCTTCTTGTGACTCTATTTAAAGCCTTCATCATCCCTACATCGACGCTCTGTAGTTCCCTACACAGCCCCTACGTATCCTCATATGTCCTCTACATCATCAAGGCCAGAAAAAAAGGCAAAATACCACCTGCACTATACCACCCTAAACCCTAAACATCCATCAGCCCTAAACATCTTTCATCCTTGAGCCCTTAACCCTAAACATCTCTATACCCCGAAGCCTGAACCCTAAACATCCCTAAATCCCACACCCCAAAAGTCACTGAACCCTACACCCTAAACGGCCAAGTGGTAGCTTCCCGAAGCAAGGGAACCCCAATATGGACCCCAAAATACTATAGACCTCATAATAGGGACCCCCCTAAACCCCAAACCCCTAAATCCCTAAAGCCCTAAACCCTAGGAAACCCCTAAGTGGGCCCTTTTGAAGGCCAAGCTGCAGGCCCAGCTCCTCGAGGCAGGCATCCGCGGCTGCTGTCGTCGCAGAGGCATTGAGCCCTCCTTTCAGGGGCTTATGGTTTAGGGTTGCGTGTTTGGGATTGAGGGTTGGGGGTCTCAGGTCTAGGGTTTGGGGTTTGGGGGTTAAGGTTTGGGGTTTAGGGTTTTTTTTCGGGGGTAAGGCTAGCGAGGTCAAGGAAGCAACTCAGAGTTTATAGTCCCCGTAAGTAGATAGACCATGGGGTATATGGGGATCTTATTCTGGATTTTCGGGAATTCCATATTCTACCTGCTGAAGGGGGACAATAGGGTTTGCAGGGCTTGGGGTAGTTTTAGTATGGTTTGCAAGGTGAAAGTGCAACTTGCATGGGAAACTGCTTTGAAGTCTGTGTAATTCAAGGAATTGACAGCGGGCTAGAAGCAACCTAAGCCTAAGCTGGGTTGCTGTCAAGGAATTTAAGCTCAGTTACCATAAAAAGAGCACCCCACGACTTCCCATATATCCATAGTAGTAAAGGTGTATACTACTTACTCTATACCCATTGTAGTAAGGGTGTATGGAGGTTCCGAGGCTGCAGCATAAGCACACTTTGGATTGCAGAGCTCAGAATTCAAAGGGCTGGCAGAGGGACATCCAGAGGCTTGCCAGGGTCTGGCTTATGCTTAGGATTTATAGGGCTTAGGGTTTGGGACAGTTTTTCGGGTTGAGGTAGGGTTCAGGTGTTCAATTAATGGCTCTTGCGAAGATGATGCAAGGGGACTAGTGACTGTCCTCAAACATTTGCGACCACTGGCTTGACGCGCAAGTGCAATTGTACAACCAGTGGAAACCCCTCATGTTTACAGGCACTTGCCGTTCTATTGGGCTGCCCCTTGCTTTGGGCTCACTTCTAAGAGAGATAGAGTGAGAGAGACAGAGACAGATAGAGAGAGACAGAGGGAGAGAGAGAGAGACAGAGAGAGTGGAGAGAGAGAGAGAGAATGATATCATCTGGGGATTGAACATAAAGGGTTGTATAGGAATAATACCCCATTAAATAATGGAGAATGAGCTGGACAAGAAAGCGAAACATGAAATGTAACCTGGGGTAGCCGCCTCTAACCCATTTTGATCTTGAAGGACGTGGCAGCCTCATCGGAAGTCTCAAGGCAGGGCGGGTGTCAAAGTCAAGGCTACAACTTGGTACTTGCCGAATAATGCCCGCAGCTCTCCTCCTGCATTGATGCAGGCTCAAGACCCCAGAGACCGGAGACAAAAAAACACATCAAACGAACATGATGAGCCCAGCAACTCCCTTTGTACTGCATTACCTGCGACGTGCCCTGACTCAAATGGGGTTCCTGGAATCTTCGACGTCACGAAGAACTCGTCCCGCTCCAGCTTGGTCTCAGCCAAGGCCTATGCCATGCACCGTTGAACTTCGGGACACCGCAGCTAGCAAACTACTTGCTCAAAGGGTCCAGGTACCTATATAGTGCCTACTTAGGGCCCAAAAGGGTTCCCAAAAATATTACTTCAGGGCATAAGTATATATATACAAGAGAGCTACATGGACCCTTTGGGTTGTTGGGGGGCAAGGTAGCTCCTTGTTACGAGATGTTGCATAGCATCCCCCGAAAGGGATCAGGATCAACGACCTTGATACTTGCAGCATGTTGGATTTGTCTTTGCTGGTATGCTTGAGGCTATGACACCTTTCTTGGCATAACTAAACTGGGAAGCGCCATCGGGATCAACACTCTACCCAGGATTGAAAACAAGCAGTTTGTGAGTTCCGTTCCTCCGCCCCATGAACCTCCCAACTACTTCATGCGTCTCCCAACTACTTCATGCGTAAGAATAAAGCCCTGTACCAACCCCACGTAACCACTGTTGTACTCATCTGAGCCGTAGTCTAAATAGACTCCTAGCTAATATCCCCCTTTATAACCTCTGTAATACCCCTCTATATAACCACCTATATAACCCCCTTTAAGCCTTTAAGGGGCTTGGACTGTAGCTCATCTAGAACGGACGAGCCGCCGCGCCAACCCCGCGCTGATTTTGGTAGGCTGCAGCTGTATCCACATGTCTGTATCCTTGGCTTGAGCAGACCGGTTGCAAGGGCCCGGCAGTAAGCACCCTACTATTTAGGGAGTACTTCAGTATCTCACTGCAGGTAAAACATAAGAACTGAACGAAGAACAAGTGCGGAACATTTTGGGAATCTAGATCCCTTGGTTAGTCGAGTTCCACTCGAAATTAACAGAGTCCGTTCTGAAAATGACATGAGATCTAATCTTCATGTCAGCGAGTAAACGCTGCTATAAAGTGAGCTGGAGCTACGGTATGCCTGCCTTACGGTTCCAACTCGTCTGGGTATGCGAGACTGATCATCATGGAACTGGTGCACACGCGCATCCAAGGCTCCCAAAGAGAAGGCAGAGAGAACTGTCTCCTGGATCAGGTGACATGCTGAAGCTGAGGTTCCTGAAATGATATGGTAGTTTCCCAAAATAAGGGGACCCCAATATAGACCCAAAAATACTATAATCCTTATTATTGGGACCTCCAAAAAGGTACCCCTAATTTTGGGAAACCCCCATAGAAGTAGAAGCTCATACATGCATTGCATGGCTGTCCCTGTGACTAAGAACCATCCTATTTCTCCTCAATATTTTGTGCCTGCAGGCCGGGCTCTCGGGCATATTCGTGTCTAGGCAAACGAACAGTGCTTTGCAGTGTAAAGTTTCTTGTGCTCACATGGGGTGTCTACACGATATCGCTCTCTCTCCTGCGGGAGCGGACTACGCGGGGCCACCTTGACCATCAAATAACTACGTGGACTACGCTACATAAATGGCCTATGCAACATGTTTTGCAATGTGAAGTTCATCTTGTCTTATGAAGCATCCAAACTACGAGGGCTACGCACTACCTATGCCTATGTAACTACACGAGACGACGCCCTGCAGGCCAGAGGCTACGCGGCAAAAGGCAGCTTCATGCCTTTCGTAGCTCTTACATTTACAAAAACCGCTGCTCAAACCCGCACGGTCCTTGGCAACGCTAGTGTTGTATTGCCAGGTCCCAATTCCCAGCAGAGGGAAATCCACAGTGCCGTGAACGCCCTTGATCGGCACCACTGGAATTCCTTCAGATGCGAGAACTTGAGGGTGCCTTGTGGAGGTGCCGCGCATGCGCATCTTTCAGTTTAGGTGGCCTTTAGAGAAACCTTCATTACCATGGTACCCCTTACCCATGTCATGTCGGCTAGGACTAGCCGGCTTGAGTTCATCAGGGTGGCCATTGCTTTCAGTTGCTTGACTGCTCTTATTCTGGAGGCGTTGCTGTCATTGCCTTCAGGGACCCTGGATTTTGGCAAGATTTTTGGAAACCCTACACCCATTGTAACAATACGTACAAGCAGTCATGGTCAGCATATGTGGGCTCCATGGCAGAGAATCCCTAGTCCTTCAAGGATGGGGGGAGAACACCAGTTTTGGGGGGAACATGACAACGAAGCGCCACATAAAGAGTAGCCAGGGCTTTCTGTAAGCCCCAGAAGCTCATAGCTCAAGTGCCATAGAAATGGTACAATTCCCCTCTCATGCTTTCATGAGGCCTTGCGAGGCCTTTTAGGGGTTGCTTCAGCTTCACAACAAGATGCCTCTTTGGACACGGGCCAAACACAAACAGACAAAAACATATGAGCATCTTGCAAGTACCTCCGACTCCAAGCCCGCAAACCTTGTGTGAGCTATAGTCTAAACTCCCAGAATCCCCCTTGCTAAGCCCTGTAGTTGTCCCCTCACCCTGCATCTCCAAACCCAAGCCAACATCGCCACAATCCCATCCGCTAGCACAAAACACACTAACCAAATTAGGGTGTAGGTTGAGGGTAATTCTACAACTATACTTCCCGGCGTCGTATTGTAGTACGGCATATTTGCTAGTTTCTACAACGATAATCCTTTCAGGGGCACAAAAGGGCACGCCGAATTTGGGGAAACTCATTTATGGATAGATCAGGGGATGGTGGGGCTGCATGGTTAGGGGGGAGAAGATCATACAATACAACCCTTTGCCTCCTGGAAGGGCGGCGCACAGCTGCCCAAGCGACAGAAGCGCCACTGCAAACAACATGACTGCCTCGATGTGGCGCTGGGGCCCCAACATATTATGTCCCTTAGTATAGGGATCCCTCAAAGGGACCCCTAATTTGGGGAAACCCTCAACCCTATATAACCTCCAAAAATCGGATCGGTCAAGGGTCAAGGGAGGAGAGCCTGAGAAGTTTCAGGGCGCAGCCCGTCCCAAGCCTTGTTGGGTTCGTTCCCACTCGCTGAACCTTTCGCAGCATGTCCTTCTAACTTGGGACGGAAGGCAGCAGGGGGAGACTATCAGCAACGGCAAGTACCGGATGCGGTCTGAACCATGGACAGCACAACGAATCAGGAACCTCTCTTACTCAATTGGTCTCAAGGGTTTTTAGCGTCACAACGGCTGCAGCACCAGTAAGCAGGACATCTAAGTCTGTATGGGAAGTTTTCACACACAAATGAATGCAGCAAACACATCCGCGTCACTTCAAGCAACCTCTAGCGCGAGCTGAGTAGCTGCAGCTAGGAGGACTTCGATGGGCCGACTCTACAGCTTGAGCTGGACGTTGCATTGAGGCCGGGTACGGGAACATGACTTGCAACCCAACGACCTGCAGGCTCACAACTCCAAAGTTCTCTTCAATTTTGACTATCCTCACTTCCCTTTTAGACTGTCCACAGTTGTTCACATGTTTTCCAAGCCTGGACACTTCGCTTCGAACAGGGTGCGCGCTGTCAATCCCTGAGGAAGTTCTTGCAGACGATTCACACAGCAAAAAGCATCAGCACCCACAAGGCGCCACGCTTATTTCGCAAAACCTGAGTCCAAGTACACATTAAGGTACAGCATGCAGTTTCTGATTCTCTTTCCAATGCAGACTAGACCCTCGCCTGTCACATCACGAATCGAATCCCCACAAGAACCACAGCTGATGCGCATGGGCCTTCAGCATGAGAGAACGGATTTAATGGGGCATCATCTGATTAGGAGTTATAATACCAGGAACTCACGCCCAAAGACTTAGAGCATTTACCCCTCGTGTTAAATGGCCATTGGTAAGACTCATATTGACAAAGGTTCAAGGCAGCATGCTCAGCATAGCCTTTAAGATTGCCAGGTTAGCTGGGTGTTATGACACTCCTGGCTCCAGCCGCTGCAGGTTCATCTTTGTCGGGACCCAACAAGCAGAGTTCCCCAAAACTTGCCACCCCCAACCCCCCTCCCCCCACTTTATAAGTGTACAATATGGGGGTTTATTCTTAGGGAGAGGTAACTCTCATATCTCCAGAGTCCCCACAACCTACATAACTCAAAATTTTCCATGTGAACTACAATATGGGAGGGTGGCAGTCCGTTAAGCCCCAGATCTTCCCCTAGCAACGGGCCCCTTTCAAGAAAATTGATAGTTTCCATGATCCCTACCATCTCCCTATGTATATACCCCCATACTATCCCTACACCCTGGGGCAAGAGCTTAGCCTGAGCCGGTCCTTCCCCGTCCCGGCCACAGCCTCCAGAACCTCCAGATGGCCGCCTCGCTAAAGTGACTTTTAGCCCCCAGGGCTCAAAAACTAAAGGTTTGGGGTTTTAGGGGTTTAGGGTTTGGGGGTTTAGGGTTTTGGGGTTTTAGGGTTTAGGGCAAAACTTTTTGAAATCTGTAGACTCAGACTAGTCAAGTAGTTTGGGAAGATTAAAGGTCAAAGAAGCTATAATCTAGCGGCGGTGCCCTCACTGCACAGCAGGCACGTAGAAACAATCCTGATTTTTCCTCCGTACAGCAAATGCATGACTGCCACTGCTACCCGTCATTCCTGCCTCCCCCTTCAGTAGACAAAATATGAGGTGTATTATCTGAAGACATAAAATATGAGGAGGGGTGTATTAGTATTGCCTGAAGGTAGAATATGGGGTGTACTATGGGGATATCATGATACTGGGAATTCCATATTCATCTATACTTAACTAAGGGGAACTATGCTCCTACTGCTGCTCCTGCTCTGAGATCTGCCAGGCGGTTTAACAAACTGGCGCAAATTCTCCTAGGAAAAAGAGGGATTTTACGTAAATACAAGGAATCCCAAACCCTAAAGATTATAAAGGATCCCTATCCCCTACGTATCCCCATATAACCCCTATATACCCTTGCAATGCTTTTCCTCACATTGATCCAGGATTAAGGTTTACAGGGTCAATATTAAGCCTCGGGACATCGCTGGTACAGACAGGGAGGACCCGGCCGAGCTTTGGAGCCCACGGGAAGCGAAGGTACTGCGCATGACTACCTATATAAAGCTTTCCCAAAATTAGGGGTGCCTTTTTTGGGGGGTCGCTATAATCAGGAGTATGATAGATTTTGGGGTCTATATTGGGGTCCCCCCTATTCAGGTAAACTACCATATCCAAGGGTTCATACGTTTTCAGCTACCTGCACTCCTAGTGCTACTGCATGTGTCACTTAAACGTCGTCCTACCTCACCGCCTTGTTAATTGTTGCGACTCCGCCGTTCATAGACCGAAAGCGCTAGTTGGGGGGTGGGGGCGATTCTTTTTTGCGAGGTTAACATCCATCTTGGTTGGTTTCCATCTTCTTTCCATTCCTGAAGAACCATCAGCAAGCAAACCGAAGAATTGGCCCAATATCCCCGCCTTGGGATTGGCTCGCCTGCTCACAGGTTGACTGCAACGCTGGCAATGCAAGTTTTGCATCAATCTGATAGCACTCTTGCAAAACCCATGGCAGTAGGTCAGTGAGAATACGCGCAGCCAACAAACCTGTAACAAGAGTAAGAGGTAAGTGAATTGAAAGTGGAATGAAGTCCACGTATTTGGAAAAGAGAAAAGCACCGGCGGCGAATGAGGGGGGTAAGTACACATGTTCAGTGTCTAAAGCTCCATTTGCTTGTATCCCCCGTCATAGGCCGCCTCCCTAGCTGCTCACGCTCACTGCGGCCACTGGGATACTGAGCAGAGATTGCCCTGGGTCCTGTTGCTAGACACCTGCAGCATCTTGCCGAGCCCTGAAAGATCCTGCCATGACAACCGCGCAACGCTGCAAAGCTTGGCAGCACGACGCGCCTAAATCCAGAGGTCCACCACCCAGGCTCAGCCAGAAATCCCGAAAGCTGTTCGCTGTCGACCTCATGCAAGGTACACAATTGACATAGTCGCCCGAAAACAAAGTTGTAGCCAGTTGTATCACTACCTCGCTCCTAATGGGTCGGGCTGAATAACACATATGCCCTGTTGAAGGCAATAAGCACGTAAAAGTTGACTTCTCATGCCGGTTTCTCCAAATCGGAAACTCATGCACATGTCGACGTGTCTCTTGCACAGGCCTCCCAGGCACTCCACGCCAGTGAACAACCAGAGCATTTAAATCCGAAGCACCACGCATACCACGCCCCAAGCCACATGTTGCCAGACCCTGAGGTGCCAACGAAACTGCCGAGTTCCCAGGCCCTGCCATTGGTCAAGGTCACCACTTGAAGTCAGTCATGGTGGCAGGTGCTTGTTGAGCCTTTTGTTTAGACATGCGTTCGGCAAAGTCCCACGTGTTGAGGCTCAGGCAGCGCCTTCTCCGACACATGCCCGGGTTCCTCAAAAGCAATTTTCCTCAGCCTCACATGGATTAAAGTTCTAGCAAGTGCATGTCGACTCAAGCTGTGAAGTTCTGCCGTGTCTGACGAGGTCAGCCAAAGGCGACTTCGCTGCGTCACGCCAGAACAGTCCAGGAGGGCGATACCCCAAACCCAAGGACCTTCATCCTAGATTCAAATCGTCTGCACTCAAGCACATACTTTCTAGGTTCTACAGAAATGCCGCACGCAACAGACTTCGTATAGGCCCTTAGCACTCTTTGCACCGTCCCCAGGAAGGAAATATGGGAGTTCCTCTTACGATTTCAACCCCGCGGTGTTAAAACCCGCAAACCTAGACCCCTAACAGCCTGAGAACCCTAAAGCCTTAAACATCAGCGCGCGACCTTGAACCCTAAACTATGAAACCCTAAAGCTTGAACCGCCTTTGAGAGAAGGAAAGCTTAGGAGGACCCCCCACTCTGTAATAATGGTATACTAGGAATAGAAGAGGACCCTAATATAATCCTTATTATCGCCTATAGTCACTATTACTGGGGGTCCACCTAAAGGATAGCCTTCAGCCAGCTGCTGGTAATCGCACTCCGGAGCCAGTGTACCATCCGCCCGAAGGGCCTCGGCTAACTGCCTGGGCAAAGAGACTGCTACGGGGATATAGGTGTTATGTAGGGATAATGGAAAAGAAAATGGAAACTACCATTTAGGGTTTAGGGTTTAGGGTTTATGTAGGGGTTACTTGGGGCTATATAGGGATTATGTAGGGGTTATGTAGGGATAATGGAAAAGAAAATGGAAACTACTATAGGATAAACTGCACTGCTGCTGCATTTTGTTGTGCAGAACCCTATATAACCCTAAATCCTACTGTCTAGGTTTTCAAGGCTAGCGCAGAAGTTTTTTGGGGCTCATAAGGATTTAGTGGCTGTGAGCGGCTGAAAGGCTCATGCGTAAGTGACAAATGGTTGAATTATGAAGAGGCCACACGTTAACGGCTAATGTTTTCTTAGTCTTAAGTTTTCATCTGCTAGTATATACAAGTAGGGTTCTAAGCAAGATCTAATATATCCATGCCCCTCGTAGTGCAAGAGCAGGGTTCAGGGCCAAATATCTCTGAATCTGTGTCGCTGACCATCTCCCCAAGTCGCGACCATTAAGCGTCTGTTCACATTAAACCCATGTATGGCCCCCTGTATAAAGTTAGTTTCCATTTCATCTTTCATTCGCTACTCAATTGTGGAGCCTTGCATGGCCTATCTTCTGCCGTTCCTTCCCGTCCAATTCTGGAATTTGGGTTACCGCGCATTTCGAAGTGCATACTGTGCAGCATGGCAGGTCCAAATAATGGCCCGCCCTTGCAAGAAGTATTTTCCAAACAAAACGTTTGTGGTGTATCGCACCTCCCCCCAACCATCGGAACCTCAAAGCCTTTCAGCCAAGTAGCTCTCTTCTTCG